CAGAGCAAGATTCCATCTCGGGGGAAAAAAAAGACAAAGCTAAAATCCCCAGTAAAGGAATCCTTGCTCCAAATTAGAAAATATTTTATTTAAAAATTATGCTTTAAAAAATCCCAGTTAAAAGGATGCCATTACCACTGTCCACCCTCAACACACACACATGAATTAATTTTAAAAATAAAGCTCATTTCTAAATCCTTACACAAAAGAATCGATTTAAAATGACACGCAATTGGTAGCAGATCCGAACCACACAGAGCCTCAGCTTGGCGCTCTGCCTCCCCGGCCATGTGAGGACACAGCCCTCTTGGACTTCTAAACTGCCCCTCAGGAAGCAGAGCAGCATGGAAACAGCACGAAAACAAGCCAGCCTTTCCATTCACCAGAGGTTTTCATTCCTATTCAATATACTGGACAAAGTCATCCACAGAGCAACTAAATTACTTCCTGATCTTTCTTAAAGTATTTCAGTTCTCAGGCAGACCCAGAGCATACAAAGTTGTGTCCAAAATCATCACTCTACCTCCAGGTTTCTCTGTAACCAGCAATTTACTAAAAGTACTTCCTGGGCCTCAAGGTAGAAACTTTATGAGCTTCGGATTCTGCAGCCTCCCAGTCTAACCAAAGTTACACATCATCATTAGTTTCATGTCTCAACTTGACTGGACTACGAGATGCCCAGATAGTTGGTAAAACTATTTCTGGGGTGCCTGGGACAGCGTTTCCAGAACAGATTAGCATTTGAATCAGTGTACTGAGTAAGGAACACCGACCCTCATCAATGTGAGTGTCATCATCTGTCCAATGAATAGAGTAAAAGGTGAAGGAAGGGTGAGTTCACTCCCTCTGCTTGAGCTGGAACATCCTTCTTCTCTCACCGCCTGACACCGGCACTTCTCGTTCTCTGGCCTGCAGACTTGCACTAAATTCCTCACCAGCTTTCATGGCTCTCCAGCTTGTAAATGGCAGATCGTGAAACGTCTGGACCTCCACAACCCTGGGAGCCATTAACATTGTGAACCTCCCCAAGTGTCTATCTCTATATGTCCTATAGGTTACGTTTCTCTTAGACAACCCTGACTGATATTGTATACTTCCCAATGCCTGCTTCAATTCTCAAAAGAAAGCTGAATCTGATTTGTACGGTTTTATTAAACAAAGATCTCAATGACAATGTCAATTCAAGTGATTGGAACAGGTAAAACTGAGCCAAAATGCTGTGTGACACTAAAGTTCCAGAAAGATTTATAGCAAAAAGTTATTTTTTATTATTTATTTATATTTATTTTAATTTATTTTATTTTTTAGTTGGAGTATTGCTCCCATTGCGCAGGCTAGGGTGCAGTGGCGCAATCTCGGCTCACTGCAACCTCCACCTCCTGGGTTCAAGCGATTCTCCTTCCTCAGCCTCCCAAATAGCTGGGATTACAGGCATGTGACACCATGCCCAGCCAATTTTTGTATTTTTAGTAGAGACAGTTTCACTATGTTGGCCAGGCTGGTCTCAAACTCCTGACCTCAGGTGATCCGCCCGCCTCAGCCTCTCAAAGTGCTAGGATTACAGGTGTGAGCCACTGCACCCGACTAGCAAAAAGTTATTCTTACTCTGTTTTTCAATCCTACTCTATACCAAGCTGTAATGGGTATACATACATAGACTATAAAGCAATGAGACCCCTTGTTTATATCCCACAGTGATGTCCAAGTTATCTTCAATATGCTATATTCATTGGTTAATGTGAGTACTTGGGAAGTTTCTAATATAACCTTTAATGTATATGAACAAATTGTCAATAAATCCCAGAATAGACTTTAAGAAGTCAGCATGATTTTTCCCTGCTAGATATCATCTTTAAAAAGGGTAGGAAAAAGTTGTCTGGAAAAAAAACACACACACACACACACACACACACACACACACACACACTTCAGCATGTAAATTGATTTTAAAATGGGCATGGTAGTTTTACATTTTGAAGATAATAGATTAACCAGAAGGAACTGAGAGAGAAAATTATCAAACCTGAATGGGGAAAAAATGCTTTAAAAAATACAGCTGTGAAGAGAGCTGAGTCATTTGTGAGAGAATTTTAAGGCCCTGCAAAAGTCCCGAACATGGTCATAAGTGGTTTACATAAATCCATGTGCCCTCTTCTTCGAGCCAATCAACTGCTCTCCAGCCCTGCGGCGAGTGGCATCGCTAGGATGAGTCGATGACACTGTCACACAGTAGAAAACACAGCCTCCTTTCATCTCGATGATGTGCTTTCTTGCAACTTCATTAAACTGAACCAGAAATCACATCAGACAACAGGGAAGAGACATGGGATGACTTTTGACATCAGATTGAGAGACAGGTGGGTGCGACTTCAAGAAAAATGACACAAAGATAAGAGAGTTTCATATTCAAGATGATCTTACTCTTCTGAAAACCTAAACATCAACGTCTTAGGGCCAGAAAGTAAAACTTCTAATGAATAGGATGTGAAAGTCGCCAGACCGACTCCTTGCCTTTCGCCATGACGCTAAATGAAAGCACAGAAAGTCCAACAGCTAAATGAATGTGTAAGATTTCTCAGACAAGATCTCTGAGGTCGCTCTAATACCCAAATGTTGTTAGCAACAATAGAAAGCTCACTTTAAATATGTGATTGGGTGGTTTTTTAAAATACGTTTGGGGCTCTTTTGAGAGTTCTGAAATTTCCATAGCAGCTGCATACTTCAGACCTGGTGGCATTTGGGGAAATACTTATCAAATCCATACTTGGAGCCAAAGCTGCCTGGGTGAAAACAAATTTTTTCCCTATTGTTAAGTGAAAATTCCATGAGCAAAATATTCTTACATTGTGTCCAGTAGAGCTATATCTTTACACTGAAAATATTACCCTAATGAGCTTGCTTGTAATGTTTACACTGGAAATAACAGAAACATGCAGGCCCTGTCTGTCTTTTTCTCTTCTATGACATTCTCCTCCACTTTGCTGAGAAAGTATGAGTAAGCTGGCAAAAAATCAACAGGGACAAAGGGAACTGCTGGCCTCTTGGTTATAGGGGGCCCTTTCGATACCATCCTGCATCTGCAATACACCACCAGTTTCCTCCTCTGTGATGTGGCGTTCTTTAAGGAATAGTTTAGAAGGGCCTGACTTAGAACTATGCCAACAGCTCTTGGCACCACTTATTTGCAGACTCTGGCCCAACTGGCTGAAATCAGTCTTTGCTAATTTATCAGCCAGCCTAGGTCTCAGCTGCAGTTTTCAGCTTTGATCAAAGCTGAAGCCCATATCATCGTAACATCATGTGTGAGCCTGGGTCTGGATCAGCAGTGGCTGGGAAGACCAAGGAGAAGCACAGAAGGGACCCGGAGCATGGCTGGGCCACCTGCTCCCCTCATTAGGATGGGATGACATAGTGTAGCTGATTGGCCCAGGGAGAAGGGGGTGTGGGCTGGGGATGGAACAGAGGATGGTTAGAGAGGGGCTCCCAGGAGGCTGGAATTCCATCTCACCGGCTGCCATCTATTAACCTTGACTAAAGACCTGGCACTGGCCTTGGCACTTACAGATGGTTGGAAACCCAGCCCTCAAGGACTCAGAGACCAGAGACTGCTAATTCTAATATAGGTCAGACCTATAAAAGCATGTATGGGGAAGAAATAATCAACCATGGGACTACAGAGAAACAAAGAAATATCAGGACAGACTACAAGGATAGCTTAGCTGCAAATTCACCCCAAAACAGAGAAAATTAGAGGAGAAAAAAGGTTCCAGGACCTTCTCTCCCTTCATTCAAATCCACTTATTAAGCACCTACTAATGCAACCATTTATGAAGCACCTTCTACATGCAAGGCACACAAATATTAATAGATGGAGTTCCAACCCTCCAGGACTTCAAGACACAAACACAAACAACTGTGGAAAAGATTGCATGGTAATAAGATATTTGCCTGTGCAAAGCACCGTGAGTGAGAGACCCCATCCGGGGGAGGATCTGGAGGGCTTCCGGGAGAAGTGGCCATTCACAGTGAGCCTTCCAAGGTGAGTAGGGCTTCAACTTGCCAAGATGGGAGGTTAGCTTTGGTTCAACTCTTGGGAGTCTGAAAAGGTAACAATGCCAGGTGTAGAGCTTTCTTCCCTTTCCTGGAGGTTTGAAGGGGGAGGCTCACAGCCTGCAGGCAGCATGGCCTGCACTCTCTTATGAGACGCATCTCTTTGAGATACAGCTCCTTGCCCTGCAGAGAAGTGCAGCCGTTAACTGGGGCAGCATGAGACCCGGAATTCTGGGAGAGCACTGGGCAAAACAGAGGCTGACCCAGCCCAGTGGCTCCTGTACCACAACCCCCCGCCCCCGTGACTTTCAGTTCAGTTACAGGCTTCTCAACCTCCCTCCCTCGGTCCTCCTATAAATGACCCACACTGTGTCCCACCCACTGCTCTCCTTAACAGGCTGTGCAACCTCGGGCAACTGCTTGAACTGCTATATCTCAAATTCATCCTCTGTAAAATGGAGACCATTAAAACCAGAATCTCATAGGGTGCCACTGAAGAGTCCATGGAGTAGCGCTTCATACAGGATTTAGCCCAGAGCCAGCTCTCAGGAACTTTTGTTATGGTTAATGATCATTTTGTAACTACATGATCTCCACCACACCCACAACTTCGCCATACCCCCACATCCGCGTCTGCAGCTCTCTTCTCTTTCCCCATGGCCTGCCCTAGAAGTCTGACAGCCTTATGGGCACCACCCCAAAATTACAACAAACACCTCTGACTCTTCAGACTCCTCAAATTAATTGTCTTTCCTCAACCGTGCCTCCTTCTTCCTTGATCTCGGGGATGACGTCAGCACCCAGTTCTTCCACAAAAGAGAAGTCAGACGCCAGCACTGACTCGCCCTCTCGTTTCATCCAACAAATAGATCTGATTTACTAGAACCCCTTGGCCGGAAAATCTCCTTCCCCTTCCCATCTGGGAATACCATCTGGGGACTCTTTCTCACCTGCCCAGCCCTGGTGCCCCCAGGCTGGGGTCCCCAGCATGTCTTGCACACGATGGCCAACACACACGTCTGATCAGGTCCAAGTCCTGGTTGGAGCCTTCCTGGCTCTCCATGGGTTTCCGGATAAGGCCTGTGCTGCGGTCGGCACCCGAGGCCCTCCCGGTCGCTCCTGCTTTTCTAGCCAGGCCTCCATAAATGTCGGCCTCACGTTTAGTAAAGCATGGGTTCTCCACGAATAACTAGAATGAATGAATGAATGAACCTGCCACTTGGGGTCCTGAAAGAACCGTTCCTCTGGCCACTCTGAACTATTAATATTTCTCATTCCCTTGACATGGCACCCTTGAAGACAGGCTGTGCTTGCCGTGTACCCAGGCTAGCTTGCTCCCTGCTGGATTGTCTGCTTCCGGGCCCTTCCCAGGTGGAGACGGTGGCCTCGGTGCCTTCGCGGCACTTCACGTCTGTGTCCCCACTTGGGACGTTATTCCCTAGGCATCAGCTTATTGCTGGGCTTCCCACTAATCTCAGAGTTTCCTAAAGTTAGGAATGATGTCATATTTGCCTAGGAGTCTCTGGGCACTGCCCGGTCTAACGCCGCATTCTGTTAATGATTTATTAACCTGCGAAGGAATGGGCCACGTGCCGATTGTGTCATACAAACAACACAAGCGAAGGGAGACATCGGTGTGGCATCTCTTTTTCCTTTTGGCTTTATTTCCATAGGGCTTTCCAGTATATATGCCCCAATCTGTCTTAGGAGAAGAGAATGGACCTTGGGGGCTTTTTTCCCCCTCCTTTTTCTGCCAGACTCACTTCCTGCTGCATTGAGAGACTTTTGGAAGGTTCGCCTTTCCCTCAAATTTCTCATGATGATGAAGAACTATAATTGCCACTGAATGGTCCAGTTTAGCACAGAGAAAGCCAACCAACAGTCACCAGCAGACTTTAAACGCTTGCCGTTGAAACAGCCAAGAAAAGTTCATTAAGCGCTGAGCAAGAAAAAGAGCAGGAAAATGAGACAGAACCGCTCCCTGGGGCATTGCAAAAGCAGGCCTTTGTGAGGAAACATTCCTGAAGGAATCTGGGGAAATGGCATTAAAAAACTGCAACAGACGGCAGGATAAGACAACAGGCTCCCAAATAACTGCATGGCGCCACACCAATGCTCCTTGCGGAGGGAGAGCACATCTCAGAGCCCCTTGGGAGGCAGGCTGGAGAGGGCTGCCCCAGCACACCCGAACGCCAAGGTGGTTTCAAACTTCTCAATTGTTTCTTTTCCTTTCTTTTCTTTCTTTCTTTCTTTCTTTTTGTTTTGTTTTGGAGACACAGTCTCTCTCTGCTGCCCAGGCTGGAGTGCAGTGGTGCCATCTCAGCTCACTGCCATCTGCCTCCCTGGTTCAAGCAATTCTCATGCCTCAGCCTCCCAAGTAGCTGGGACTACAGGCACACCACCACGCTCAGCTAATTTTTGTATTATTAGTAGAGACAGAGTTTCACCAGGTTGCCCAGGCTGGTCTCAAACTCCTGACCTCAAGCGATCCACCTGCCTCGGCCTCCCAAAATGCTGGAATTATAGGCATGAGCCCCCGCGTCCAGCCTAAACTGTTTCTTTAAAGACCATTTGTACTCCCCTTGCCTCAGCACTGAAGGGTATGAGAATTCAGGAAGGCATGCCTCCCTCCTCTCAGTTTGCAGTTGAAAACTGGTCAAGAGGAACCAGGTACATTTGGGTTTTTTCTAAAGAAGCCAAGGGTTAAAACCATGGCCACTATACCATGGACAGCTTCGAAATGAACAGAATTGTTTTCACACACAGGACCAGCCAGAGGTAAAGGTGCATTTTCAAAAAATGTGGTGTCAATGCAACGTGCAGAGACTGTGAGGGGTGGGGGAGGGACTTTAAGTATGATGGCCATATCGGGTATTGTCCACACGAGGTCATTTCTGAGAGCAAAAGGAGAAGTTACTACTTACAGGACCTGGACAACTCACTGTAAACCAGCACTACCCAGGCAGATGAGTGAGTTCGGCCACCTCACTCTGAGTAATGTACTCCGTGAACAAATCGCTGAGGTGAGGAGGAGAAAGAACATCTGGGTTGTAGAGGCCAACACATACTTTTTTAAAAAATAAATAAAGAGGCTCTCTCTGGACTTAGTACTTTGACTTTTCCCTGATGCAGCTTCAACCCAAATCACATAGGCATTTCTTATCAGCAAAAGCAGCCAATAAAATACAGAAGGACCGTGAGAGAGATGGGCCAGAGCTCTTGTGAAAACCTTTCAACACACTGACAGGCTTCTGCCAACAGGAAAACGTTTAGCAAGAGGTGTGCAAGCTACTTGTAGATGCAACCCAAAGATTCAAAGGTGGCTATGATCTGGCACACAACTGCACGTCCCCTTTAAAAATAAGCCCATAAAAGCGAAGCTTTGCTTCACGTGTCTAAGTGCAGGTGATTTTGAAAAAGTGAGAAACAGATACATTACCTGGGCAGTGGAAACGCCCAGGTTCCTCCAACTTCAGAACTGGCTGAGCCCACAGCACTGACCTTACTGACTACTTCAAGGACAGGTGATTTGAGACAAGCTTTCTTCAAGTCCCCACCCCAATAAAATCACCTGGAAAAATCTGAAGTCATGATAACTATAGTTAAAAATCAAACAAAAGCCCAGCAGATAGTGGGAACAAACAGACAAACAACGCAAATCAAGAGCGTTTCCTTGCAGCAGGTTCTTCTGTTCAGTGGCCGAAATTTTACTCCGGGATCCTTCATTTTAAAAATAAATAAATAAGGCCAGGCACGATGGCTCACGTCTGTAATCTCAACACTTTGGGAAGCTGAGCGTGTGGATCTCTTGAGCTCAGGAGTTCAAGAACAGCCTGGGTGACATGTGAAAGCCCATCTCTACAAAAACTTCAAAAGTAGCCAGGCATGGTGGTGTGCACCTGCCTGGCTACCCAGCTACTCAGGAGGCTGAGGTGGGAGGATCAATTGAGCCCAGGAGGTCCAGGCTACATTAAGCCATGGTCACATAACTGCACTCTAGCCTGGGTGACACAGGGAGACCCTGCCTCAAAAAAATAAAAATAGATCGAAGTCCTCTTGATTCATCCTCAAATGCAAACCTGAAGGAGAAAATGGGCTTCCCACCCATCTCAGATCTCCACTTGTGTGCGGCCAACTTGCAGTGATGCTCCTGGTGCTGGAACATAATGAGGGGTCATGAGGAAGACATTGTCAAAATCCTCAGAGAGGAGAGAAGGAGAGGCCGCTCCCCGGCGCAGAGGCCAAGTTGCAAGCTGACACAGCCTAGCTGCGAGGCAGCCGAACAGGCACGCGGCACTGGGTGGGAACAAGTCCTTCTGGGCTCAACACATCTACTGGTCTCGAGCAAGTCCTTCATTCTCTGGAGACAAGCTGGGACTCGGCTCATCTCAGATGGAGACGCTGTGCAAAGAGCAGGTTGCTGAGCACACAGTGCCAGACAAGCCCACCAGTTTTTAACATCGTGTTAAAAATTGTGTGTTCTGTGTGTTCTGGGGGTGTGACCCGCAAAGAAAATGGAAGCTCCTGGAATTCTGCTTTCTGTTGACTGTCCTCACGAGGTCTATTCACCCCGAAACATTGCCTACACCACTTGCCTTTCCCCAAGCTAACTTCACGTTTTGGCAAAGTAAACCTGTTCATGGGAACTAAGGTAAAACTTCATTAACTTGGAATCGGCTGATTTGGAATCATTCACACTAGGCTGAAGTTGAACTTCACACCCAGCAATCCTTCTCTTCTTTACACAGCAATTTAAATGTATAAACAGTATGTGGAGGGGGAAGTGTCAAAATGCATCAGAGAATACATTGTTTCAACATATCCAAAGCACTCACTCACAAAGAATTGTTACAGGAAATAAGTCATCGTTAAATATTCAGTAATTGTAGCTCCCTAAAGACTCCTAATAGGCAACATTTCTATTTTAGTTTTGTTATTGTAGCTCATTCAGTTCCTCTACTATTCAGACTGGTGTTTCCCTAAATTCTCTCAAATGAGTATCATCTTATTCCATTTGAAATGAAAAAGGTCCTATGTCTAATAAACATTAATTTTACGGTGCTTCATTTAGTACCCAATCAGAAGGTGCTATTGACTGTGCTGATTTTTATATTTGAAAGCGAAGATCCAAAAGTTTCCAGTTGCTCTGCTACTAAACACTTTCTTTGTGCCCCATACCATGCTCTGTGTCCTACAGGAGATATGAATCCTGTAGGCAAGTCTACAGGCTTGCAGGCAAGTCTAGCCCTTAAGAGAATAATCTGATCCCAAAGTCTAGAGTATTAAATCCAAGCAACATAGAAAATCTCCAAAGGCAAGAGACTGAGCAGAATTCACACCTGAGCCCAGAAGACTGTTTCAGTCCTCTGGAACTTGGCACAGGCTGTATTTCCTTGGGTTAAGAGAGCACTTTCTCACCACCACCTCCTGGGCTGTCTGCGTAAGTCAGCTCAACAATGCCTCCTGAGATGCCTTTGGGCCCTGGTACTCTTGATCTAATAACAGCATCAACACGCCTGCCATTTGCCTCACACTGTGCATGCCTCTGCCATCGCACATTACATTTCACATTCCCCTGTGCATCTCTAGTTTCTCCACAACTGGACTGTGCACTCCTTGAGGGCAGAGACCACGCCAGTGCCTCTGGGAGTGACCACCATCTTCCAAGGAACCAGGAACTCGTTGAGCTCTCGATAGAACTTTGTCAAATGAGTGAATGGACGAACTTATTCCTGTGTTCTACATCTCTGGGGAAATGTCCTGGCTTTAGACATTAAGAAGTAAGTCAGGGCTATGACATGGTTGCCCAGTAGCCCTCCTGCATCAGACGTTGTGCAGCCCTGCTGAGTGTGGTCATCATTTTTAAACATCACCATTGCCAGAGAGTTACAAAGGTGCTACCATTCTTCCACAGGGAAAAGTCCTTCAGCAGAGTAGACAGTGAGCTCTTCGTCTCCATGACCCACACCTACCAGCCCTCAGCCACCTTCAGGTGGTCCCTTTGAACTGCTAGCCCATCTTCAAGCATCCGCCTGTAATCATCTCCATGGCAACCACATTGCTTACATGATAGTACCTGTTTATAACAATAAGCTCCTCTTCTGGAAAGAGAAAAACCAGTCTCATAAATATCCTGAGCAGGTGAACAAAGTACTGCTGTTCTTGAGGTAGGCTTACTTCAAGAGCCTCTAAAATAACAGTGTGGACTATGATTCAGCCCATGAATGCAAATAATGCATGAATGCCTAAGGAACAGATATTTTGCTGCCTTCTTTTCATGTATATTTCAGTGTTTTCACTTACTGGATCTACATAGTCTGCTGGACTTCATTTCTTTTTTACTTCAACTTTTCTATTGTTATCCTCCCTAATACATCTGTTGCCAAAGAACCTGTACTCTGATGCCAAAATCTTGTTTCACAGAAAGTTAATCAGTCTTTGACCTTTCCTAACTTCATGTGGGTGACCCGTTTT